GATTTAGCTGTAAAGGGGAACAAATCCCAGGGCTGAGAGAATGCAGAAGACAAATGGTAACAGGAGGAGCGGGGAGGAATGAATTACAATTCCATATAAAAATTTATGCACTGTAGCTTAACATTTTTCTTTTTTTCTTTTTTTAAAGTTACGTTCTCTTCTACATTTTTCCCTCAGTGAACTTTCACTGATTAAGCTGTAAAGCACTACTTGCCTCTTTTCTCTGGGTTCCTGGAAGAGAGATCTATCTGAACACAAGAAGTCAATATTATTATTCAGTAAAACATCATAGTGGCATTCCTAATATGGAAGTAATATTCCAGCTTGCTAAAAGGAGTCAGTAATAAAACACTTCATAGCACTGTTCACCTCCCAATTGTGTTCACATGTATTTATCTTGTTCATTTTAATTACAGTCCTATAAAAGGCTGATAGGTGTTTTTATCCTATTTTACAGGAAAAAAAAATAGTTCATAAAGATATCAAGTGATTTTCTAAGATCACACAACTAATTGCTTGTGCAAGTAGAGCCAGACTCTTTCTTCTGATTTGGGTGTTCAGGAATATTGTCAGAAAGCATGTATTGGACATACTTTATATGGCAGGCAATGATGATAGCTCCTAGGACAAAATAATGCACAAGACAGACTATATGTGTCCTCAGGAGGTCTAATAGAAAGACAACTAACTAATATGTCCAGTGAAATGTGACTCAGACCTATGACAAGGAAATGCAAGGTATGATGGGAGCAAAAGACCCGAGCACCCAGCCAGGCCTAGGAAGCATCAGGGAAGGCTTTGCTAAGAAAGAGACTTCTGACTGGAGACCTTAGCCAGTGCTAAAGGGCTGACAGCTCAGCAGATATCAATGAATAGGCAAGGAATAAAGTGGCAACCTTGAAAAATCAAGAGAGAAGTGTCCTGAGGAAAGAGAGCAGTCCGTATAAGTCATAGAGAACATCCACTCTACAGTGCTGTTTCATGTATATGTATGTGTGCGGGGGGTATCTTTCTCATTTAAGAAGCCATACATTGTCCAACTCTCATTTCTGATTAAGAATGAATTAGTCTGTTTACTGTAAAATGTTGACATACACTTATAAAGATATAAAATAAACCCCACAAAAAATTAGACTTCTTTAGTTACTATCATTAATCTGTGAAAGTTGGAATTTTCTAGGGAAACGGGAGACCCAAGAAACTAATAATCTTCCAGAAGCATAGCCAGTGGGAACTAAAGTGCAAATTTCCTACTCATCTTCATGATAAAGAATTGAGGAAGATAGAGGAGTGAGAATTTGACACATTAGTTATAGATCTTAGAGTTCTGAGACATAAAGGACATGACACAAATGTGGAAGACTGGTGAATTACAGAAATGTTACGCACATGTAAGAGTTTTATTGACCACTTCCCCACACTGCTTTCCCACTAGGTAAGGCTAGAACTGCAAATAGAAAGACAGTACCAAGTATCCCTCATCCACCCCCACTAAGCATCCCCTGATGAATCATAACTTACTATTAATACTTGTAGTGCATATTCCTGAGTGTCATTCCCAGAAAATTAAACTATGAACACTTTTAAAATTGAGTTATTGACCTTTACAGCTTTTTCAAAAGAGAAAAGCCAGTGAGTCACAATTATGCTACAACTCTAGACCATCTGAATTTCTTCCAAGATGATGGCTTAAGACGTGTTTAATTCTTGGCTCTCTCAGATAAACTGAAAATTTAAAAATATGCATCTTTTAGCCCTGATTTATCTAATTAATCTTCAAGTTGTATCAGCTTCTGGATCTATCATTGAAATAATCCACCATTTTCTCACATGTACCGTGTCCAAAAGGGCTAGTCACTCAGTAGCTATATAACTTGACCAGGACTGTTCCTGGCTTCCTTTAACAACACTCTAAGATTATTTCTGCCTCTGGAAGTTTAGCTATCATGTCAAATAAGTGGACTATTTTGTATGGTTCATTTAAAAAAAATAACAATAATGTCAAATACATTGCATTGCTGAATCAAATTGCTGATTCCAACAGAATGGCAATTTGATGCCTTAGATAAATAATGACTAAGAACTGTAGATCATCTGTCTCAGTGACATTCTTTCCCACTACAGTCTCACTTAATTTCAAACCTCATATTGAATCTTGCAGAGTTTCTGGGAAAAAGAAAATAAAATTATCTTTACCATACATAAATTTTGTTTTAAGTGTTCTTATAGTAAGAACTTGTAGCAGTTGAGACATTTTCTTACTGGACTATCTCTGCTCTACTAAGTCTTCAGCAGTAACAATAGAAGATTATTATGGTCTTTGAGAATAAGACATGCTCAGATTTTCAAGTAAGGAGTTCAGATAATTATATTACTGTCTTATGTCTAACTCAAAAATATTAATACAAAATCTCTATTTTACCCATAGTTAGTGTAAAAAAGATCTCTCACTAATATGCTGAAAATTCATTTCACTGTTCTAGTATTTTCATTCGTGTAATTCCATTCTCCAATTTATTATGAAAGTAGTTTTGCCAGTTTTTTTTTCCTTGAAATAATGCCAGCACTGTACTGTAGGGGTTTTTCTGAAGATATTTAGAGATCTAATATCAATAGTGCACAAAAGAAAATATGGAACCATTTTTTAACATTACAAATGACCTAATTTGAAACATGAATTTCTTTTCTTTTATATGAGTATATGTTGAATTTATTTTTATTTATATTTTTAATTTATTTATTTTTCATTTCATTTTCTTTTATACATTCAATCACATTATTATTTGTCTTACAAAATGGATATTTCAACAGGTGAACATCTCTCCCCAACACAGTTGACAAAACCACAAAACATCCTCAACAGACAATACCACACCTCCCTGTGACATAATACTTTGCCTCCCTATTTTTCTTCTAAATATCCTATGGAAAATGAATTAATAAATTGCCTGATAAAATGTACAAATCTATAAATACCTGAATGAAGGTATTAAATTAAATAAGACTAGCCTCAAATATAATCCTCCTTGAGAGAGTAGATTTGGCAATCCAAAATTTCTGATTTCAAGATTGATTTATAATCTTCCCAAGGCCACCATACTCATGTTATTAGAATCAAAGTCTCCAAATAAAAACCATACTCTACTACTTAAACCATTCTCTTCTACTTAACAACAAAAGAAATAAAAAATTGTAAATTTAACTATGGATATCTTATTCATGATTTAGCTGCATTTTCCCCCTAATATATAAATCATAGACACAGCAAACTCAAGTGTGGGATTCAAGTAACAGATGTGAAAAATTCAGACATTCTGTTTGCCTTTGTCAGACTTTAGTAGTTTATTATTGAGAATCTTTATTTTTCTTTTCTCTTGTCTAGCTATCTATGCACCTCATTCCTCAGCCACAGAAGTAAATATGTCCAAAATTGATTCTGAGTTTGATAAGCCCTAGTGATGACATTAGCCTCTGGAATGCAGAACTGGGACCATACAGTAACCGGTTGGCAGAACTCTCCTTCCACCAAGTCACTGATTCAGAGCAAAGCTTGTGCTTCACATCTACCACAACAGTTAAACACAGGTATTCTGAAATAACTGATTTATCAAATGCAAGGGAGAGTGGTAAAGAAAAGGGAATTATGTTTTTGTTTTGAACTGTAAGAGATTTCAAACTGTATATGGTACACAAAAATGTCAATGCACATAACCACTGAACAGAATGCTTGAAATGATTAATACAGTAAATTTTTATGTATATGTTACCACAATTAAAAAAACAAAACAAACAAAACCCTCTATGTGCCTAGATTCTGAAAACTGCATCCCTGCATCCCTGTGTTCCAGTTATGTAAGTTCCCAAGTCCAATATACAATTGGCTATAAGTCTGTGACAGTGACTGGGTAATTCTTCCTGCAGCATCTATTATGCTAGGCTGTCTGGGCCCTAAATAAGCATTCGTCCTTCAGAAATTAGTAAACAGCACTGACTCACAGAAATATCTACGTAAAAGTGCCACAGGAAAAAAGAAATCTCAAACATACCATGTAAGAGCAAGTGCTAGGAGCACGTGGAACATCACTTACTCTCCAGTGTGCGCAGGTGTAAAGTGGTGGGAAGTGGAGAAACCCTCCCTCCTATCCCAGGATTGGCCACTACACCACCCTGCCCGATTGCCACAAGGGCAAGCAAATCATGATCAGACCGTCAATTAAAGCATTTCCTAGACTGACAAGCACATTTCAATGTTCTTGGGAAGGCCAGCTGCTGGGGCAACAGGCATCTTTCCCACTCCAGCCTCCACTCGACCAGAAGCTACTTGTAAGGTTTATGTGTGAATTGTGTGCTGGGTGTTTGCTTTTCAACAGTTTGAGTAGTTGATGTGTAAATATGTTCTCAAAAATATTTACAACTATACTGTCTCCGTCATAGAGTCACAAACAAAATTATAACAAGTGTTTTGAACACTATCTTTAAAGTTCAGGTTTTTGAAATTTTGAAAGTTGTTTATTGTCAAGAATTATGGAGTTTGAGAAAAAAGTTTTGATATGTAAAGTAAATGTGGGAAAAGGTATAAATAAATAAATAAATAAATAAGGGGGAAAAAGACATCTGTGCCTTTTTGTTGTGGTAGGTAGAGTGTTTCTGCAGACTGAAAATCGTCCTAAATTGTTAGAAGTGTTAGAAATAAGGTAAAAACCCACAAAATCAGTTGTCATCCTTCATCCTTTCTCTCTGCACATGCACTAAGTGATACCTGGGTATCCTCTCCCCTCCAAGGGAGACTGTAATCATTCTGGTGAGCTCCACTGTGGACAGCCAGATGGCTGCATGCCACTTAGAGGTGCAAGGAGCTCAACTCTGGAATCTCCACCAGGACAGCACTGGAGAAGCCTCCGCGAAGCTCTGTGTTTGTACCCACTTCCCTGCAGGAGCTGCCACTTGCAGAACTCTTCATTTCCCGCCCGCTCACACAACCACCCCCTGAAACTACCTACCAGCAGCGGTGACCAGCAGACAGACAGCACGCACATGATTCCCATGAGCTGGATGGCCGTCTCTGTCGTGATCCGGCCCCACTGGGCGCTGGACTGAGACGCCGTGGCCTTGGCCCGGCAGCGGGACACTAGGGCCTTAATCGTGGCCAAGTTGCAGGCAAAGGTGACACCCAGTGCCAAGAGCCCCAGGAATGCAAAGGTAGAGGCAAAGAAAAGGTTGCCCCAGCTGTGTGGAGAGCCGGTCCCATTGCCTCCTCGCCCGGTGCTGATGAAACACCACGTCCCCGGCCACTGGATCGTGTACTGGCCCACGCCCAGCACTGGTAACAGGGCAAAGGCGAGCACTGCCAGCCACACGCCGAGTAGCACTGCTCGCGTGGCACGCGTCTTCATGTGGCTCGCGTACCAGTGCGGCGCCCGGATGGCCAGCGCCCGCTCGACGGCCATGGCGCTGGCGATGAAGAGCGAGGAGAGCCCAAAAACAGTCATGGTCAGACCGAAAAATGTGCATAGTCTTCCGGATGGGTCTAGCTGCTCCCAGCCCTGCTTGGACAGGTACACCATGATGACCACCGGGCTGGTAAGCAGCTGCCCGACCAGGTCTGTGAGCGCTAGCCAGCCGATGCACAGCAGAAAGGACTTCCTGCGCTGTC